CCCCCCTCACCGCGCCGCCCAGGCGCCCGCGAGCGTCTGCAGGCCCTTATCAGGGGCCGCAGACCCGGGAAGCCCCGCCCCGCCTCCGACCACGCCTACAGTCACCCACACAGACACGCCCCCGCCAGCTCCAGGAACCGCCCACTCCGAGTTCCTGGGACTCGCCGCCCATCCCAGCTCAGGCGTGAGTAAGCACCTGCCGGGTCAGCTCTGGGATCGGAGCGCCCTTCCGCCGCCTGGCCACCCGCCACCTGGCCACGCCGCCTGGCCACCCGAGGATCCACCCTCGGACCGCCCAGGGCACGCCACTGCTGTTTCCTCACGTGCAAAACGAGGCTCCAATAGATGCAGCCACATAGACGTATCTTAAGAATTACGCCAAGGGAAAGAAAGCCTCTAGGATCGCTTTCCCCCAAACAAAAAGAGCATATACACTAAGGTCCTATTTCATTTTATTTATTAATTTGCTATAGTGTGCAAGACCTCGCCAGAGAGACACAGAGGGAAAGTGAGAAACCACCCCCGCCCCAGGCGGATGGCCACGCTGCAATCCCTTTTCCTCCATTCTCCTCTCAGCAGGCGTACGCGCCAATTGTACTGGGTCCGGGACTGGAACTCTGTAATCGGCCATATGGGATCCAGCTGCCTTAACCTCTGCCACGCCTACTGACCTCTGCTATGGCCTGTTTATTATATATAAAACTCGAGAAAATGCAACTACAGAGATCCGCAGGAATGGAAAGTAGTTGTTTGCCAATGGGGGGGTGGGGTGGGCAGGAGGGGTGAATAGGGGCTCGTGGAAAGCCCTGGCATGCTGGGTGTGTGGTGGTGTGTTCACGGGTGTGAGTGCTCCTCTGATGACATACGTAATGTGTGTGGTTCATGTGTGCCAATTACACCTCTATAAAGTTGTAAAGTCGTTTAACTGCATCCAACTCACAGGGATGAGCTGAGTTCATCCGTGGAACGTGCTTACAGTGACATTTAGGGGACAGTTAGGGTTCAGGGAGAGCCACACACGGGATGACAAGGCAGTGACCCTGTGAGTCACAGACAGGGTGGCCTCTAGCGGCCAACCAAGAGGACTCAGACCTCAGTGAAGGAAGTTGAATGAGGATTTGGATGAGTGTGTGCCCTGGGGATGGCTCCCAGGACAGTCAGCTCCCTGACTCCGCCTCCTTCCGCTCTCTTCTTCCCTTCACCCACACTCGCCTTCTCTCTCTCTCTCTTTTTTTTTTTTTTGAGAGATTTTTGCTACAGGGCTCATACACTCACTGGAGAGACAGAGAGACACAAAGCGAGAAATCAGCCCCCAGGAGGATGGCCACGCCGCATTCCCTTCTCCTCCATTCTCCTCTCGGGATCTTGGTCACGCACACACACGTGCCCGACATGAGTTTTAAGCCACCGGGTCCCAGACTCAAAATGGGGTCGACTACGTGGGAATCCAGCGACACAGCCATTTCTATAACTGCTGGTCCCCAGGCTCTTCTCTCAAACTGCAAGTTTTGTTTTCTTTTTATTTTTATATAATTATTTAACTTATCATTATCATGTAAAGAATTATTTATTTATTTAAAGTTATTAATCATCTTTTTTTAAAGTCTGTTTTATTTATTTATTTTTTTTGAAGAAGTTTTTGCCATAGGGCGCGTGCACTCACCAGAAAGACAGAGAGGAACCAGCAAATGGCTTGGTGGTTAAGGCACTAGACACTCCTACATGGCCAACGGGGGTTCAAGTCCTGAATCTGGTGGCTTCCTTTCTCACTTCCTCTCTCTCTCACTCTCACCCTCTGTCTCTCTCTGGTCAAATTAAAAAATAAATGAATGAATAAATAAAATAAAATAAATAATTATTAAAAAAAAAAAAGACAGAGACAGAGAGACAGAAAGCAAGAAATCACCCCCCCAGGGGTGATGGCCACTCCATAATCCCTTCTCCTCTATTCTCCTCTCAGGATCTTGGGCACGCATGCACACGTGCCCGGCATGAGTTTAAGCCACCAGGTCCAGGACTCAAACTGCAATCGACTACCTGGGAGTCCAGCGACATAGCCATTACACCAACTGCTGGTCCCCAGGCTCTTCTCTCAAACTGCAAGTTTTGTTTCTTTTTTATTTTTATATAATTATTTAACTAGTTATTATCATGTAAAGAATTATTTATGTATTTAAATGTATTAATCATCATTATTATTTTTAATTTTACTACAGGGCATGTGCACTCACCAGAGAGAGACACAGAGAGAGAGAGATGGAAAGTGACAAAGTAAGCCGCCAGGTTTGGTCCTTGAACCATGCTCAGCTATGTGGAGTCTTCACCTACTGCCTCCTATTATTATTATTATTATTTTAATTTGGTATAGGGACATGTGCATACCAGAGAGAGAAAGGAAGAGAGAGAGAAGGAAAGTGAGAAAGCAAGCTGCTTGAACCCTGGTCCACCATGTGGGAGTCCAGTGCCCTTACCACCACGCTACCTGCAGGCCTGTCCACCTCAGGATATGTTTCTTTTCTTTTCTTTCTTTTTTTTTTTGGAGAGGTTTTTGCTGTAGGGTGCATGCACTCACCAGAAAGACAGAGACAGAGAGACAGAAAGTGAGAAATCACCCCCCGGGGGGGATGGCCACGCCGCAATCCCTTCTCCTCCATTCTCCTCTCGGGATCTTGGGCAAGCACGCACACGCGCCCAGCGTGAGTTTAAGCCACCAGGTCCAGGACTTGAACTGTGGTTAACTACATGGGAGTCCAGCGACATAGTCATGACGCTAACTGCTGATCCCACAGGGCACTTTTTACAAGTGTATTTACTTGGGGCCAGCAGGTGGCATGGTGGCTGGACCCGCTGGACTCCCATATGGCGGACTGTGGTTTGAGTCCTGGACCTGGCGGCTTGCTTTCTCTCTTTCTCTCTCTCTCACTTGCGCTCTGTCTCTCTCACTCTGTCCTTCTCTGGTCAAATTAAAATAAATAAATGAATAAATAAAGTTAAATAAAATAATTCCTTGTTAAAAAAAGGTTATTTACTCATTTATTTACTCCATGAGCCAGAGAAAGAGAGAGGGCCATGGCAGGGAGGCTGACGCATCTGGATCTCACACGGCCGACTGTGTAGGTCAAGTCCCAGACACTGAGGCTTGGAAGACATCCCAGAAGGGGCTGGAGGATGGCGTGTTGGCCTCTCCCATGGTTGACTACTGTTCAAGTCCCGGATCTGACAGCCTGACACTCATGGTGGGTGCATGTGTGTGTGTGCCCAAAATCCCAAGAGGAGAGTGGAGGGGAGGGGATTGCAGCATGGGGCCAGCTTCCCTGGGGATGATTTCTCACTTTCTGTCTCTCTGTGTCTCTCCAGTGAGAGCACAGGCCTTATAGCAAAAAAAAAGAAAAGCTCTCTAAAAAAGAAATAATTAATTTTACTTATCATGTTGTTATTATTTTTTAAGTTTGATACAGGCACTTACTAGAAAGAAAGAGAGATTGAGAAAAAGTGAGAAAACAAGCCGCTACGTCTGGGACTCAAACCGTGGTCGGCCATGTGGGAGTCCAGAACCTTAATCACCATACCACTTGCAGGCCCCTAAACGTTTATTTATTTATTTAATTATTCCATGAGCCAGAAAGAGAGGGCTGTGGAATAGAGGATAAGGCAGCTGGAGCCCACGTGTGAGTGTCCAAGATCTGGTGACTTGAAAAACATCCCAGGTGTGTGACCGCGAGTGCCCAAGATCCCAAGAGGAGAATGGAGGAGAAGGGATTGCGGCGTGGCTATCCCCCCTGGGGGGTGATTTCTCGCTTTTTGTCTGTCTGTCTCTATCTGTCTGGCGAGCGCACACACCCTATAGCAAAAACCACTCCAAAAAAAAAAAAAGGGACCAACTGATGGTGTTAATGGTAACATTGCTGGACTTGCACTTAGCCGCCCACAGTTCGAGTATCAGACTCAGGATCCGGTGACTTGGAGCCCACACCGGGCACATGTGCGTGCGTGCCCAAAATCCCGAGAGGAGAATACAGGAGAAGGGATTGCGGCGTGGCATCTCCCCTGGGGAGTGATTTCTCACTTTCTGTCTCTCCAATGAGTCAACGCACCTTATAGCAAAAATATCTTTCAAAAACAAAACAAAACAAAACACTGAGGACCAGCAGGTGGTATGGTGGTTAAGGCACTGGACACTTCCACACAACTGACCACAGTTCAAATCCCAGACCTGGTGGCTTGCTTCTCACTTTCCCCTCTCTCTCTCTCTCATCCTCTATGTCTTTCTCTGGTCAAGCTAAAATAAATAAATGAATAAATAAAATAATTCTTCAAAAAAAAAAACAAAACAAAACAACAACTGGCAGGGGGTGCATGGGCTCACTAGAGACAGAAAGAGAAAGCGTTCTTCAGTGGAGCATAGTACTGCCTGCCACGATGTCTTCTCCTCCATTACTCCATCCCGCTGGGATCCTGAACAAGTGTGCACACACACGGCTGGTATGTTTTTCAAGCTGCTCAGTCTGGGATTCGAACTATGATGTCTCTTATCCCAGAACCCAGTGGGCTGCAGGACTGGAGGAAGAGGATTGCAGTGTGATCAGATGCTAAAGAGGGTGCTGTCCCCATCCCCGTCCTGGGCATGTCGTGAGTCCTATCATGAACCAAAAAAAAAAAAAAAAAAAGTGAGCAGAAGACAGAAGCCCATGTGCAGGCAG